AACTCAATAGACTTGTGTCTTTTTTTCAACCTGACAAACCATGTAAGAATTACTGAAAAAAACTTTCTCAATAGGGACCTTTAAATAAATGAAGATTCACAAGTGTATATACGTCACTGTACACATACAAGTAATGAGCTGAGCTGGAATAATTGAATTAAATGACGGCCTATGAGATGACTGCGCAGATAAATACACATCATCCAATTATAGATATAACATGCCAGTGAATGTCACAAGGCCGAATGGTTGGAGAGAATTACACAAGATCAACACAAACTAACAGCAGCCATAAAGATACACAGTGTGCTTATCAGAGGAGGGGAGAGGCTGGAACACATGAACTCACCGAGTGACAACGTTCTATCAATTACCTCACATACAACATTATAGTCATATTGAGGAATGCACCGATACCGGTATTTCAGTATCGAGTGCGAGTACCGATATTTTATTTCCGGTACTCGCCGATACCGGAAGTTCCATTAAGGAAGCCGGGAGGCGTGTAATGACTCGCCACCCGCCTTCCCGATTAGCAGGAAAGCCATCCCCATGTTTCTCATCACAAGGTAACGAGAAAGTATGGAGGCGGCTTTCTGGCCAATCCAATCATTACGCGGCGCCTGGCTTCCTGATTGGCCAGCTTCCCGACCAATCAGGAAGCCGGGCAGCGAATCATTACACACTGCCCGGCTTCCTGATTGGCTGGGAAGCCGGCTCCATGCTCCCTCATCAAAAGTGACAAGGGAGCATGGAGCCGGCTTCCCAGCCAATCAGGAAGCATCGGATGAGTACTCGCCCAAATACTCCGCATCGGCACCGATACTAGTATTGGTGCATTCCTAGTCATATTGTTTTAGGGGGGCTCCTTTCCCTTGCAGGGTTCTATTGAGGGACCCTTGTGTGTGTCCACAAACACACAGGCACTGAAAGGCAAACCTGCTGCCTGTTCCCCTCCAAGCTAGTAGATGGACAGTTGCTGGAGACTGCTCTGTGCCGTGTGATCGTGTACTGGACAGGAAGTTCAGGGAAGTGGAGCTGAGAGAGTTGGAAGTGTTCAGAAACATGGTGACTGTAAGACATACTAAGTAAAGAAATCATTTTCTGGGCAATGTCTATCTGTTTGATCTGGATTCATTATTGAAAAAAAAAAAAAGTTTGATTGTTTAAAATTACTTTAAGTCCAAATAAAAGGTCACAGTAGCCCCACGGATGAGAGAAGATATAAAGTACTTTGTTGAGCGTAACATAATATAATGAAATATGACAGAACACCTCATGCAGTACGAATACCAGCCTGCTGTGTCCCGTGCCTTGCCATGCTATGGGTGTGTTCCCGCCAGGGGCGTCTTGAGGCGGGGTGTCACCCGAAGCAGGTACCAGTTGACACCTCGCCGTGATGACGTCACATGCTGCTACTTGTTGGCAGACATCTTGGTGATGGGCACTGGCAGAGAGAGGAGGGGACGTTAACCCGGCAGGATGTCATTTTGAAAACGAGGCGGGTTTCAGCTGACACTGCAGATTCTAATGCACATTGAGAGAAGCTCACAGCGTGCAGTGATATCAGAGGAAGAAATTTCAATCCAGGAGAACAGCCGGTACAACTGTGCAAGACTGAAGGGAAAGCTGGGGCTCTGCTCTAAGTAACTTACAGGTCTTGTCCCTCCCCCAGCCTGTGGCTGGACAGTGAAAGGAAAAGCAGCAGACTTACCACAGGACCCTTGCAAGAGAAAGGAGCCACCCTCATCTCCCCATCACTCAGCTCCCTCCTCCTATCAGCATGCGCCTTGTTATCACATGAGCACTGCAGTACACCCGATTGGCTCCTTGTGCCGCTTTTTCCACCCCCAATCTGAGCTCTGATGTACAGGGAATACAAGAGGTGCACATCATTCACTCACCTCCTCCCAATTGCAGCTGGTGTGTCACAGCTCTGCAGTACAGGAAGACATCTGGAGCCGATTCAATGGATGGACAATCAGATCCTTCCATGTACTGTCACCATGTACATTCAACCCTGCTAATGTGTGCAGGTGACAACCGGTGTGTGTACAATGAGTCATCATCAGGAGGGGGACACCCCACACACAGACATACAATGAGCCGTCCTTACCTTCTCCCGGCCTGTCCTCACTCTGCTCCCCGGGTGATCATCCCCGGCTCCCCCCTCACTCCGCGGCCGCAGATCTCAGCTGACAAGAAAATAAAAAAAAAACAGACAATTGCAAAATCTATTACATCACTTCCGGGTAATTTCCGCCCGACACCGACCCCCAGCGAGCGGAATCAGTTTGCCAAGTGTACGCTGAGCGTCTGCTGAATTGTCTCCAACACAGGAGCCATTTTGTTGAAGCCCATCAACCATAGAACGCCTTGTATTCTGATCTCCGATAAAATGCCCCCTTCTGAACTTGTCCATTGATGTAATAAAAAAAAAAGGCTGGGGAGCCTTGGGTATACTCATACATCTGTTTGGGAATGCAGACATGAGTAAAAAAAAACTTGACAAACTACCAAGTTTTGGTTAAAGTTAGGCTTTAAGGACCATTTACTTCTTTTGCAGTGCTTTAACGTGCGTTATAGTATTGCCATGTGTCGTCTGCACTCCATTCATCGGTTAGACCTAGATTAACATGTGTGGTGCTCGAAGGGATAACACGGATGGTGCTGTGTTTCCCAAGAACAATGGAAATCACCAGTCAAAAGCATGGAATTCATTTACTTATTTATTGAAGTAAACTGTCACATGCGTCAAATAGCCAACGTTTCGTGGCCCCTTCCTCAGGGCAACATAGTTTGGTATGTCGCACATTAATGTGTGTTGTGTTAGTGCAGTACATTTAAAATGAATAGGTCACCAATGCACCCCATAGAGCCTAAAATCAGACATGACCCGTTTTTATGGTAACACAACATACTACTGTGTGTTGTGGTGTGCTGCACTGCAGGCGCGTTGAGGTCCCATTTCATTTTATTGGCCTCACAATGCTGTAACGCATGATATGTGCATTACTGCGTGTTACTGCAACAAAGACGTGTGAATGAGCCCTTACACATTCCAAGGTGACAAACCTGTGAGGCACACGGAAGTGTAAATAGATCGGCTATATTCACGCACCATCTGGGTTCAGGCGCCTCAAAATTCCAGATTTATGGAGGTTCCATTATAAGGTGCAGAAAAAAAATGCATAAAAAGTGCAAAGAAATTTCCAAAGATTGTGCATAGAGTCATATCCAGCGATGTTTCAGGGCCACACGGGGGCCCCTTTCTCAAGGTGACAGAGTGCCATGTGGCATTGAGGCTAGGTTCAGACCTCAGCAACACCCGGGACATGCGATCGCGTGCTAGTGCACGCAGTGGTTGCTACGCGGTCCCATTGATTTCAATGGAGGTTCCTCTGTGCAACAATCGCTAAAAAAAAAGTACCTTTTTTTTGCGACACACAACACACAGCTTTGTTTTTAGCTGTGATCGTGTTCAATTGCACGGGCGGAATCACGGCGGGAAACCGCACGAGTCGCCCACCACAGCCAAAGTAATGGCACCCACAGCACAAACGGCTGTGGTGGGTGACTTCCCGGCAATCCACGTATTTTTGTGCACGATTGCCACACGGTCAGGAGTCGCCCAGGTGTGAATCTAGCCTGAGTGGCACGTCTGTCACCAAGAGAATGGGTCCTGGTGTGGCCCCGAAACATCGTTGGATGGTTCTACGGTATGCGCAGCTTCTGGCACTTTCTTTGCACTTCTTATGCACTTTATCATGGAACCTGAAAGAATCTGAAATGTTTCATTTTTTTTTTCTTTTTGCAGTGCTGGCTATTTGTCTAGGCGGCTGCTTGTGTGCATGCCCCCCAAACAGTGCCGATGCGCTCAATCAAGCTTTAGAACTTCATTGAAATATCTCAAGTGACATGTCATTCAGTTCTATGGCCTCACCTCAGGCTCCATTCACACTGAGCTACATAAAAAAAGTGTTTTTTTAGCGCTGATTTGAGCGACTCTGCCTCGACATTGAGCTACAGTGCACATTTTGTCGCGCTACGTAGCGCTTCTTTTGGCAATCTATCAAAGCCTATTGGGGCCAAATCGCACAAAATCCACTGGAAAAATAGGTAATGTTCGAGCGACAAGCTTCAGCTACAAGCTACAGGCGACATTGAGCTGTGGGATGTGAACAGCTCCATTGAAATGCATTGGACGAGCCACGCTGAGCGATTTTTGAGCTGAAATCGCTCAGTGTGATTGGGGTCTCAGTGTGATGCAGTTGTGCCGCGTCTCACTGCAGTGTGCTTACAAAAAGTACTGCATGCTGCACCTTTTTAAGCGCACACCACCAGAACGCATTGGTGTGATCCCAGCCCGTCTATGACAAGCCGATTTGCCTTGTCTTGCATTTGGGCTGTGCTGGAATAAAGGGCCAGTGCAGCCTGTATGCAGATAGTGCAGACCGGCCCTAAATGAGCAATAGTACGGGAATACCATTAGCCTTGCACTCTACAATATGGCGATAAGAGAATGATGGTGCTGGGTAGGAAAGTGTGTGTGAGCATGGTGCATGTCAATCACACCCCCCTCCCCAAGGTCCAATCAGTTGCGGCCGGGGCAATCCCCGTTCCTTTGTAAGTGTATCTGCAACCGTCTACGCACATCCCTCGTGCTGGATGCATTGAACCAAACAGAAATAAAAACCTGGCAGGGGTTCTGATCCCTCTCTGCTCTATACAAATGTAAAAAAAAAAAAAGTTTTGGCTTCAGTTTCTCTGTCACAAGAAAGAAAGGAAACAAGCCCAAAGTTTGCTGAGCACCCAGTCTATGTATATAATGGTCACCCTCCCCCTAGAGCTAAGCGTGTCTGCAGTGACCCCTACCGGACAGAGATAGTACAGCACTCACACAGCCACGCTTACAGCACACCGGAATAGTACGCATGCGCAGTGAGTTCCCCGTGACGTCACCGCGCCCTTACGTGTGTGTGTGTGGGGACTGGGGAGAGAGACGCGGGAAGTTTGTAAAGGGGAGCAGATCGGGCGGGCGGATCATGGAAAGGTAATATCACCGGGGGAAATACCGGGCTCTACCGGGAGGGAGGGGGACTGTATATACGGGCGTGTCACACTACGAGAGGCCTCCGCCGGGTCTGAGCAGGAAGATTATGTAATCACAGCTGGCTCCTCAGGTCGCTGTCCCTCAGAATGACCGCCTTCCTGGCTGCCAGAGTCCTGTGAAGGGGGATGGGCGCCAATGTTGCTGTACCTGTGGTGGCGTGTTCTGTGGAGATGGGGCTCATTCACACAGCAGCCCATACAACATAAATACTGGTGTATTATGTATCCCTCCCTTTTACCAGGGTGGCCTCTACAGCCTTCTCATAGAGGTCAGTGGCTGTATGTGGGTATACACTGCTACCTGTGTACAGACACACCTTACGTGCTGGCCCCCCCTTCACCGTAAATGCCGACGTATTCCCGCTGCCAGAGGACCCTGTATGCTGTTGTCAGCTGGTATATACTGCCACTACGTACACCCCTGTATGTGCACGGACATAAAATCTCAGACACCCAGTCTGGGTCCAAAATTTTACGTCCATGTGTGTGTAGCCGCCGACAACGCACTAATGTCTGTACTATGAGACTGCACTCGGGGCTCTGTTAGCGGGCATACACCAGCCTTTACGGTGTATGGGGGCTGGCTTTTGTGTGCAAGGGTCCCTACCAAAGCCTGCATCCAGGGATTTACAACTGTACGCATAAGCAGCTGCACGCATGTACCACTGTATACCCGGGTACAGCCACTGACTTCTATGGGAAGCTGTACGCCGCACCCGGGGCTCGTCTACTACTACTACTTGTCAGCGGGAATATGCCGGCCTTTACGGTGTATGGGGGCTTGCAATCGTGTGCAAGGGTCCCTACCAAAGCCTGCGTCCAGGATTTGATAACCGTAAGCATAAACAGCTGTACACATGTACCACTGTGTACCCGGGTGCAACCACTGACTTCTATGGAAAGCTGTGCGCTGCACCCTGGGCTCTGTCAGCGGGAATACGCTGGCAGTGAAAACAAGTCCAAAGCGCTAAATTTGACCAACAGATGAATAGTACAAAATGAGGTTGACTAGGAGTGCTGCCCCACTTCAGCTTGGGAAGCTGCAACACTGAGAAGAAAAAGAGAAGGGCGCCCACCCTAGTGTAGAGGGTTTTTAATGATTTTAAGTACAAATACAGAGTAAAACATACTCACAAAAGTGGATCAATAAAAGCATAAAGATGAGCCTATGCGACTGTAGAATGGCTGCACATATGTCTGTGTGTCAGCACGGGACTCCTGTGATGACGTGTTTCCGGGGCCACGCCCCCTTTGCTGGCATTAAGGCTGCGTTCACATATAGGCGACAGCATTATGGCACGTGTTAACACTTAGCGTTTTGTAGCGCTTTTTCTGCCCTAAAAACGCTTTTAAAAAGCCCCCAAAATCCAATTTATTTCTACGGCCCTGTTCACATCTGAGCGTTTTGTCATGATAAGAAAAATGCCTGTCGTTGGAAAAGGTACATTAGATTTGGGGGGGGGATTGCAGCTCTTTTTGGCCCTTTTTTTGGCTCTTTTCACAGACTCAATAGGAAATGCTTAAAAACACGTGTGCTTTTTTGTGTGTCAGCTCATTAACATCAATGCACTACAATCTGCTCACAGACGCGCTACTTGATTTATGCGCATGAAAACATGCGTCAAACACGCGTTGAAACTTGCAAAAATGCTATCACCTAGGTGTGAGCCCAGCCCTACTGTGTATGGGAGCTGCTGCCTGTGTGCAAGAGCACTAATAGAAACTGTTCCAGTGCAGCTGCCACTATGCACAGGTACCGCTTACCATGGCCAATTTCATTATACAGGAGCTAAAGAAACTATTAACATGACGTTAAATTCAGCAGTTAAATCTTAAAAATACATTGAAGTACCCCAACTAACAGAAATGTATCTTATTTGTGTATCACTCGGCTGTAGATCCTCAAATCATCTCTGAATTGGTGCCGACACTGTCCTTCCTTCTGGAGGGGGGCTACCTTTGTTCCCCATGGTCCCTGTGTGTGTTGTAAAGTAGTCGACGAGTGATACAAAAATAACATACATTTCTGTTAATAGTTAAGGTACTTGAATGTATTTGTATTTTTAAGATTTAACTCCTGAGTTTAGTGTCACTTTAATGATATATAGGAACCTTTTACTGAAGAGCTGTGAGGGAATTTTTGAGGACTCCTTCACACGGGCATTAAAAACATTACATGGAGATGTGGACAGTTTTGTATGCATCTGTATACAGCAGTATGGAAGTCTCTGGGCCCTTTTGCACAGCTGCACCTGGCAGTGTAATGTTTATATAGGACACAGCTGCATCATTTTTGACGTTCTTCATGCCGTCTACATGAATACTGCATACATGCACCCTATTAGCTGCTGACACCTGCCGGGTTATCATCCCATCTTCTACTAATTCATTCTGTGAGATCTGGGAAGTAAAATATCAGTGTGTTCTTATTTTATGAAGCATCTTCCTCTCTGTGTGTAACCCGTTCTCTTGTTCTGCTGGTGAATAATAGATTTTTATTTGGGCATCATTCAGGAAACATCTAAAGGAAATTCCTGCTTCTGCCAGGAACTCCTCAAGCTGGACATGGAACTCCAAGAAGAACAGCTCAGAACTGCTCTGTGGTATGGGAGTGACCCCTATGGAGAAAGATCCACTGGACACAGAAAATACTCCTCTGGACCAAATCATGACGATGACTCCACCACAGAAGCGTCCGAGACAAAAGGAGAAAGATGACACCTTTGTTATCGCCAGACGCCCAAGAGCAGCCAAAATCTCTCAGCCAGGTGAGAGTTGTAGAGTCCTGTTATCATGAATAGGTGTACAGTGTGTAGGAGTCACCCATGTGTAGGGTAATGTCTGCTGAAAATGAGTGACTTCAGTTTTACAGCCACTGATCGGTCACCAACTATGTCTAGGTAGGATCAAGTCATGAACTGAACGTTGCTGGGAATAAGATATTACTAGAGAGCCGGAGTGTTATAACAAGCCAACATGAGACCTTTTAACCCTTTTCCGTAGCCGACTTTCTTCGTAAGCAATGCCCTCCGTCCTCCACTGTCCCTTCTATCTTCACCTGTTTTTCTTTTTCTGGGTTTGGCATCGTTAGCCTCTTGATTGGCTTTCCCAGGATGATTGTACTCCTGCTAATGTGCACGGTAGTTACTTCATTTTGCTGTAGAACCTTGCTGAGCCTGTTCACTGAGCTGCACATGCTCTGAAACATTATCACCTCTGAGTTTATTCACCAGAAGGACCATCAGTGAACGGATTGTTTTTGGGGTATTGCAAATCCTTCAGGCCTTGTGGTATTGCTGCTTGAATACACACTTGAGACACAATTATATCTAGTCTGTAAAACCTTTTGCATATCGGACCTTGCATTGATGTGACCTACCATGTGTAATGATTGATTTTTGTTTAAGCTAAACTACAGGCACAGAGGTAGAATGTATATGTGGGAGCTGTTTTACCTGACAAATAAATTTCTGTCTGCCCAGTCCTGAGATTTACCCACTCTTGTAATATGTCACTACCAGCTTGGTCACCTCCCTTCCCCCAGCAACAGTAGAGGAGCAGCAGCAGACTGTAGAAGTCACCCTGTAGCTCATTCTGTTCTCGCCTACTATTCCTCGTCAGTATATTTGCATGCATCTCAGTACTGGGGATTGCAAGAGGTAGACACAAAGTCAAATAAGATTTTTTTTTTTTTTTTTTTTTTTTTTAAATGACTACATACATTGCTGCTTGTTTTTATTTAGCCCTCTGGAGTTCAATATGAAGCATTCCATATATCTGGATACATTTTTTTTAAACCAAGCTGTGAAGACCTGTAATCCTTTGTTGTCCCGCTAAGCCACGCTTTTCTCTTTCTAGGAATATCATGGGATTCCCTACCAGATGAGTTAATTCTGGGCATCTTTTCCTACCTGCATCTAACTGATCTCTTGAAAGCATCTCGCGTTTGTAAACGATGGAGGAGACTATCGTGAGTAATTTATGCAATATAGTGATATCTTACTACAGAGTGGATAGAAGATGCACACTTATACATGTGTTTTCATGTTCCCATGAATGCATGATTCAACAATGCACTGTGTATGTGCCACCTTATCTTGCCATTCAATTTCACTGGCAACCAACACACATACGTAGAGTAAACTTCCCTCGGTGTAATAAAACAAAAAACATGCGTTTTACAGTGTGCTCGAAGTTAATGAGCTAGCTTAATTTTGTTTGCCCTGTGTATGAGTGTTGATGTACCATTTAAAAAAATAAAGTCACAGAAATATATATTCAGTTACTACCTCAATACAAACTAGTAGTCCATCACTGGAGCCATTTTTAAACTTTATTTTATAGTTTATCCGATTAACCGATTAATCGAACTTAATAATCGGCTAACTAATCGATTTTGAAAATAATCGTTAGCTGCAGCTCTAACGTATTGTAATAAGAACCTCCACTTTCCTGTTACAGCAGCTGTGTGGGGAGTATAAATGTGACCAATAGGCAGTGCAGTTGGACCTATTGCATACGTAGAATACACCTATGAGGACTCTTGCTAAAGGAATGTGACTTATTCAGTCATACCAGCAGAGAACACTGCAGTAGGAAGGCTGAAAGCAGATTTTTTTACTGAGATATTTTTAAGTAAATACATTCTGTTACAGAATCATCATATGTGGGGTACAGGGCAACAAAGACATGTGAGACTTCAATTGGGCATTGAGGTTATGCATATAGGTCTAAATACATTGTACAAACACTGACTTATGCCAGGTAGCATTTTATTTCTGTGCTGAGTGGAGGTTCTGATATGGACATGACGTGCTTTATATACATTCAGGGCTCAGCCACACCATATGCAGTGTGTTCCGGCGCGGTCTGAGCCCGAAACGCACTGGATCGCATAGATCAGGCTGGTGTTGAAGAGGGCGCGTGGTGGTGCCAATCATGTCGAATGCACTACAGGCGTGCCCCCCGCCCGCATTACGACCGCCCAAACTGGAACGCGAGGTACAAAAATGCCCGCCGTTCCAGTGCAGTGCGATCAGAAATGCAGCATTTTTTCCGATCGCACTGGAATGGAGTGCATTCCTGTACCTCGTGTTCCGGTGCGGGCAGGGGCGTGCCATTGACATGAATGGCGCACACCTGCCCCAGAACATGGCCCGGCCTGATCTATGTGATCCAGTACATTCCGGACTCGGACCGCGCCAGAACGCACTGGATATGGTGTGACTAGGCCCTTAGATATAAAGAAAATGCATCTCTGAGCAGTTTTGGTTCCTCAGATTGTGCTATAGAACTAGCTTGAAGTGTGCGCGAATGCTGATTTGTGTTCAGCAAAGCACTGAACAGTGATAAACTTCCCCACAGGTTTGTTCTTTAAGGCTTGTTCACACTATAAGCCGTGTCTGGTATTTTTCAGCAACTAAACACCAGTCACCGCTAGGACACAGGAAACAGTTGTTATTTATGTGCCTCGTTCAGACCACAGTGCAGGTGTGTGATGTGTGTTGCAGCATGTTTTACTGCGGAGACCTGAATGGAGTTGCCAAACCCTTTTTTGGCTTTAGTCCTCTCAGGTCACAGAAAGAAACATACTTACAAATGTATAAACAATATAGAAACATTACTAATGTACTACTGTGACCTAATAGCATTTAGTGGGCTTCTGCCCTCCATATGCTGACAGTACAGAGCCGCGCTGCAGGCGGGAAAATATTGTCGGGGATCTACTCTGCTGCCCGATTGACAGCTGGCTCTGCCTCTAGAGCCAGAGCCGGCTGTTACCACCCCCTCCCCTGTCTCTCTCCAATGAGTGCTGGAGGAACAGAGAGGGCAGCGGTAATCCCTGTGGAGAGCTGTGACTGACAGTCACCTGCAGAGAGAAGACCATGAGCTGAGTGATCAGCGGTTTGGGATTGCTGAGCTCTCGATCTATAGAGCCGGCATGTGACACCTGCCGTGTCCTACACCGGCTGTAAGCATTGGGAAGAGTACATTTCACTCACCCAATACTTCTCTTTTAAAAAGTGTGATAAACTGACAGCACATCACACAGCCCAGCCACTGGACCTGTCACCACACTAGCCTGCACATTGAAGCTGAGTGTATTAGTGTGTGTGTGTGTGTGTGAACAAGGCCTTAAGCTATTTTCTGTGTGATATTCCAGATGCTTTCATTCTTATAATTGATATCTTGTGACCACATATAAAAAGGCGACCCTCCTTTTCTTCTAGGTGTGATGAATCACTGTGGCACAGTTTAGACCTCACTGGGAACCATTTGTTGGACGGAGTTATTGGAAGACTGTTGTCACTGGGAGTGGTTGTGTTGCGGTGTCCCAGATCTTGTATTGGAGAACCATTATTTAAACAGATCAGGTGAGTGATCCACTAGACACAAGATGGGAGTCAGCAGATATAAATGATCACAGACCTGTACATGATTTCTGGTATCAGTCAACCTAAATTTACATATTGTAGACAGTGCTGGTATGGACTGAGCAGTAAATATCAGCAGAATTACCCAGCTTTAGTGGTCCCTTCTCCTGAGTGTCTGCACAGGTTGCACAGTGCCTTAGGCATGCACTAGATTCCTACACTGAACATAATCTCCCAGATTCAATGGACATCCCCCTCTGTGTGCACCTTAAAGCAAACAGCCAAATACACATTTACTTTATCTGCCAAAGAACTGATAATTCTGTACAGCCTGTGTTGTCACTTACACACATTTTCCACATTACACAGCTAGACAGGGTGACACACTGTTGTCTCAAACAATTTCTTATCTTGATTTAGCTATTGAGCTGCCATTGTCACCTCTCCTACAGCAGTTGTGTTTTAGCTGAAGGATTATTGTAATTTCTTTCTGGGTCTCCATGACTAGGCTAGAATCCACCATATCATTTTTCTTAGGCATGGTGTTCCTCCTATTGCATTATTTTGAGAACCCTAAGGCGGTGGGCGGAGCCTGTTGTGCTCCCTGCTACCTGTCCTAGATGGATCAGTTTTTTTGTTTTGTTTTTTTTTTACGGCAAGTTGTCATTATGGATTTCCAGGAAGCAATTGGTGAATTCCTTGTCTGCACTGTCTCTAGTTGTGGTAACTAGAGGCAGTATATTCTACTTGCAGTATTTCAGTACACCAGTATAATGTAGCGCCATTTACCTCCTTTGTTTTACAGACCTTTGCGTCTACTACATGCAGACCTTTCTCATTGCACCATCAGCATAGATGCTTTGCGGAGCATCATTTCCTGCTGCCACAGACTTCAGAATCTGAGTTTGGAAGGGCTGACCCTGAATGATGACATCATGTGGTAAGAGACAACAATGCCATGGGGCATTACTGGTTTATAATATGGCTTTTAAAGATAATTTTTCTTTGAGTCTGTGAAGGTTCTCATTCATCCAGGTCATGGTATATCTGTAAAAAATAAGTCAAGGCAACTGGACTTGCTGTATTTTTTTAGGCATGCACCGATACCGGTATTTTGGTACCGAGTACGAGTACCGATAATTTTTTTTTCCGGTACTCGCCGATACCAATTACGTAGTAACGGCAGTCCCATTCAGGAATCCAGGCAGCGTGTAAAGACTCGCCACCCGGGTACCCGATTAACAAGAAAGTCCCCTCTTACCTTAGAATGGGCAGCCTGTCACCCCCGGGTTCCGAGTCGAAGGAGATATTTGTCTTTTATCCCCGGAGGGAAGGCCAGATTTCCTAGGACTGGAATTAAAGGGGATGGTGCTGGCGACAGGGAGTATTGAGAGAAGGCGGACCGGACCACCGTCAGCGTAGGCATGATAGTGGGGTGGGAGCGGATGGTCGGAGGGAAGGGGGGCGAACACCAGGGTAGGCCTGACAATGGTATCGGAGAGAAGGATTGCTCCAGGCCGGTCCAAAGCTTTGAGTGGAGACGGATCTGTGGATGGTCGCAATGTCCTTCTTCAGTGTAAGTTCCATTTTAGAAACCATGTCGGCCATGTCTTGCCTCGTGGGCAGGGAGAGCAAGATGGCAGAGATCTCGTTGTTGGAGAGGTAGGAAGGCTGCAACGGCGTCAGTGGTAGGCGAGGTTCCGCTATGGGGCTGGGGCATATGATCTCCGGGTTCCGTGACTGCTGGCGAGGCCGAGGCCTCCCTAGGGTCGGGTGGTGTAGTAGGCCTCAGGGCCGTGTCGAGTGTCCCGGGGGCCATCGGGCCTTTAGAAGAACTGCGGGTGGAGGAGGCTGGCGTGGAGAGGAAGCGCTGAAGGGATGTCTGAGGGCGCTTGTCTTCGTTAGAACGGAGTTTGGTCTTCTGCGACATCAAAAAAGAAGGTTTGGGATGCCGTGATCAGCTGAAAAGTCTCAAGTAGCAGCAGAGCTCAGGCAATGTGCTTCTTCACTCCGCCATAGCCAGGCCACGCCCCCACATAGTAAGGTAAGTTAACCTTACCTCATGAGGCCAGCTCCCTGATTGGTCAGCTTCCCGACCAATCAAGAAGCCGGGCAGCGCGTCATTACACGCTGCCCAGCTTCCTGATTGGCTGTAAAGTCGGCTCCCTGCTCATCACAAGTGAAACAAACAAGCTCTTAGGGTGGAAGTGGGATAGTCTGGATGGAGGAGAGCCAGGGTCCCCACACACGCTCAAAGAATTGGGGTCTGCCTCGTTGTTCATAAGTGATCTTATAGACTGGTAGGATGTCATCAACGAGCCGTTCCCATCCGTTCAGAGTAGGAGGTGAGGGTGACTTCCATAGCAGGAGGATACATTTTTTAGCATACAAAAATAAAATCTTTTCCTTAGTGTCATTTGTACAACTTATCACTTATTTATGGAGTTATCTTTGGGTTTAGCCTAAATGATCAGCTACAGTCAGCGTAGAAATGATCAGCGCGTTTATATTTATAAGAATTTAATGTTATGTGATTTGTCTAAGAACTTCAGGAAAATCACAAACTTACCTTGCATTTGGGTTATTCCCACGCTGCGAGGTTACATGGCCATTTTGTCTAGGGGGATCAAATAAAGGTGTTTGCCTCACCGGACCCTCAATTCCACTGTGGTCGGCACATGCTTCTCACCCCCGCGCTCCAGTTATGGAATGTCCCCCCGCATCCTCATGTCTAATGCAACTCAATGGACCTGCATAAGACGAGATGATGTAAGTGATCCTTAGACTGCTGAAGCCCAGAGGAGTAGAGGTTGGGGGGACAGGTCTATCAGCCTGAAGGGAGCTGGTGGGACAAAGGGTCTTACAAGTAAATTTATGAGTCCCCTAGATAAAATGAGCACTTAACCCTTGCAGTGTGGGGGGTAGCCCCACTGGAATGGGAAGCTTGTGATTTTGCTGGAGTTCTTCTTTAAAGCCAACTGCAGACTTACTGTAAACATCATGCAGGCAGTTCAGTTTATAGTGATTGCATTTGATTACACCACTCAGTGCAGATGGGTACACTTGGACTACTCCTGAAATAAATGAATTGTACAACTTGCGCACGGAGGGCTGCCACAAGTGCACTATTCAGGGGCATAATTCACACCCTGTTATTTCCTGCACTAATGTTTCGATTTCTGATATTGCTTTTATGGCAGCTTCATATGTCATGTCTTAGATTGTATCTAAACCAGTTAAGAAGTGGGTGGTCTTATTGGGTTTTTTTGGGGTTTTTTTTAACCACAGTCCTGAACTAAAGTTGTGTTCCAGGGTCACATAATAGGGGCAGGCACTAAGCAGACAGAAGGCTTGGGGTTACATGGTTAGGTTTCTATAAGGATTATATCGGTACGTATAGACCAGGGGTAGCCAAACTCCGGCCCTCCAGCTCTGGTGAAACTACAAATCCCATGATGCATCTCTCTCCGGGCGTCATGTCTGTGAGAATCTTGCAATGCCTCTTGGGATTTGTACTTCCACCACAGCTGGAGGGCCGGAGTTTGGCTACCACTGGTATGGACTAATGGACATGTCGCACAGTATTTGAAGGTTGTACATGGAATAAAGATTGCAATACATGGTGGTTAATCATATTTGTACTAAGTATATATTTGTTTCATTATTTGGATGACTTTCCTTCTGAAGGTGATACCAAGTTGAACTGGGACACCTCTGTGTGGTTACATAGATGGGTTTTCCTTGTATATATTTTGGGTTTCAGCAGGGTCAGTAAGTCATGATAATATACTGTGGTAACTGTATAATGACATGTTGGTACACTGAGCACTGCAAGCAGTAGTGGAGCAGGGCCATCCAAAGCCACCCTATGCTCATAGGGTTAATTGAACCTTTCCAGTAGCATTTCTGCTGTGTGCACGTACACTTGACCGTTAAGCTGAGAACAATGCAAAGCATCTCAGTAGGAACATGTCCTATTCATAAGCTTTGCACTACACTTGGTAAAAAAGTCTAGCCGTGACAGGTGATCTTTTATAATGCCATGTACATGTAACCTTAGACATGATCTGCCGTCTTCTGCTTCATATTACAGCATGTTGTAATTAGGAGTGGAATAACGTAGGTTCAAATACTTGGACATGGGTCAAATCGTTTATGCTTCGGAGTTGAATGTGGGAATATACTGTAGCTGTTGCCATTTGTGTGTGTGTGTTTGCAGAACATTAGGCAATGTAATGTTTCATGAAAGAACCCCCAGTTTTTCTCTAGCACTTATTAGAACATTTTGTCTTCAGTGCTGTTGCCCAAAATTCAGATCTGGTAAGACTGAACCTCGGTGGTTGTTTCGGCTTCTCCCCAGAATCGCTGGCACACATGCTGAAGAGCTGCTCTAGGTAAGACTTTCTTCTCTCATGGCAGAGTTGGAGTTATGTGTAAGTGGGTGGGGGAAATATTTATGTAACATTAGGGTTATGCAAAACCCAGAAGGAACTTTGAACAACCAATGAAATGTCCTTCCAGCAAAGACAATAGAAAAAAAGATAATTTTCTTGTTTTTTCTTCATAGTATAGCGGACGTGGATTTGGATCAGTTTTATTTACATTTTTGTAATACCTTTTTAAAACTGATTTTATTTATTTTTCTTAATATATCTATTGCAGACTTGCACATATAATGCATAAGCAGATGCTAACCTTCGTATAACAGTCCATAGACTTAGATACAGACATCTAAATTTAGACATCTATTTAAATTCTGACTTCTGTGAAAGTCAAGCTTGACCTTGCCTGTTCCGCCTCAGTCACCGTTGGTGCCAGTAGTACATTATTTATGCTGTTTGGATGGTAATTCCCCTACAATGGTATTTCATGCAGGCTGGATGAATTGAACCTCTCCTGGTGTGACTTTACAACCAGCCATGTGAAGAGCGCAGTGGATAACTTTCCTAGAAGTTTAACCCAGCTGAATTTCAGTGGGTATCGTCAGAACCTGGAGATAACCGGTATGTTGATGAAACTAATCATAGCTGTTTAATTTTAGTGTAATGTGCTGATGATGAATTGAGAAACAGACTTCTTTCAGCTAAGCCCTATTTTGTTTTTGTAGATGTGGAGGCTTTAGTACAAAGATGTCCTGACCTTACCAATTTAGATTTAAGGTAAGTCCCCTCATTGTACCCGCTACTCCATACACTGGGGCAGTGATGGCAAACCTTGGCACTCAGCTGTGCCAAAACTACAAATCCCAACATGCATCTGCCTCTGGGAGTCATGCTTATGGCTGTCAGAGCCTTGCAATGCATCATGGGACTTGTAGTTCCAAAACAGCTGGAGTGCCAAGGTTCACCACCACTGCACTGGGGTAACCATTTAGTGGACTTCATGTGGCACTCAAAAATCACATCAGCATGCAGCTCTGCATACTGTTATAAAATCATCTTATATTCATTAGTAAAAGTAGAATTAAACACTCATCTTTGTTTGCATATATGTACCGCTAGCAAGCAGTAGATATAAGCAAAAACGTAAAAAAATGACCAAATAGGTAATTACTTACCTGTGTCTTCCCCGCTTGCTCCTGTCTGAAGATTCTCGAGCGGCTGTGAAGGATGATGGGGTGGGTGCATGTGCAGTAGAGATCTACGGCCAGGAGAAGGGGAGAGACAGTGGAGGGGAATGCACGCAGCCAGGAGCGTGCACATCGGACAGGCACCATTGGACACTGAAGATACAGCAGTCAGCGCTGGAGGGACTCCTGAAAACTACTGGAAAGGAGATTGGATCAAGAGGCATCCTTTAAGGTAAGTCCTTAAAACATCATGGGGGGGGGAATTGTGACTTTAATATCACTTTAAAAAAACATGTTTTTCATTTACTTACAAATAGAGTTCATCCGCTTCCTAGTCCACTTCTGGCACAAATTACTACAAACTACAAGGTTTAAAAATAGAGGTCTTAGTTGCACAAATCTTGCAAAATATATGGAAGCCGCACTGCCTCATCAAGGCCCCTCTGTGTGGTGTGGTCCTAACTAATCTATGAGAGCCTCCATCTTGGAGCATATATAGCTAAGGATGAATTGAGTGCAGGTTTGCCAGGAGGCAGCCCAACCTACTTAAAGGCGCAGGGACACATCAGAAGCCCCGAACGTTACAATGGCAGCTGAAGCCCCCAGTGTGTCCCCTCACCAAATCCATCAGGTCAAACAAATGGCGACCACACTCATCAATTTATAACTAGCTTTAAAGCAAGGTGCACACGGAGGTGCTTTACTAAGTACGAAAACACAAATCAGTGTCACCCCTCAGTGTCCTCACATTCAGCACAGGACCTGTGGTTCTGCATTGTACATGATTATATCAGACAGCTGTGACCGGTCAGGCAGCATAGAGAAGCAGCTTTGGGGGACCTTTGAGGAACAAGGTAAGTATTTCACCCAATCCCCAGACCACATGACAGTTAACACTTACAATGCGGAAAGGTAACTTTTTATTTACAATGTGATGGGTAGATACTGGCCCCTGAATTGTGAGGGGTTTGTTAGTACATTTTTATATTTATAAAGACAACCCTTTCATATGTACCCTGTTTCCCCGAAAAAAAGACCTAGTACTATTTTTGGGAATTGCTAAAATATAAGACCTACCCAGAAAATAAGACCTAGTTGTGACCATTCCCAGGACCGGTGGTGGCATAAGGGGGAACTTGAAGAGCCGCAGGAGAGAATCGGCTGTGCCAACTAAGCCATCGCTAGAGTAAGCGAGGCGGCACCGGAGGGAACAGAGCCGCATAAGCCGATGCCTCCTCCATAGCGCCGGCTCCTGTCACAGGCGGAGTGATACCAAATGCACTCCGCCTGTGAGGAATCGATAGTGAAAGTGCGCTTCGCTCATTCTGGCCAACGATTGGTTACCAAATTGCTCTTGGAAAGGTACGGCACCCCGGATTGCCCTTATTCATGTACAAAAATATGGTGATAAGTGTGGATTGTTGTACAATAACAAAAAATAAGACCTACCCCGAAAATAAGACCTAGGTGTGGTTTTTTTTTAGCCAAAAAAAATATAAGACAGTGTCTTATTTTCGGGGAAACACGTTATAACAATCCTAATGTAGTAAATGAGTGTTTACTTCTCTACAAGCCTGATTAGAAGTGGGGGCTCTAATGATTTACCAGCTTTAACAAAAAGTGTAATCCCCTGTAGGGTAGCTTCAGATATCTAAGCACATTCCACACATGAGTAGTGTTTCATGCTTTTCTAGTGGTAGTAGCAGTGAAAGAAATAGATTTGTGTGTTATGGGGAATCTAATAATATCTTCCTCTGTGCAGTGACAGTGTGATGCTGACTCCAGAATGCTTTACAGTGTTCCACCAACTGCTTCACCTGCAGCACCTCGGCCTCAGTCGCTGCTATCAGATCTGTCCTACTTCCATGCTGTAAGTATTTAACCAACAAAATAACTGGACTGACATTTTTTTTGTCCAGATAAGTCGTATTTTCTCAATAGCAGAGAGAACTGATCTTTACAAGCAGCATACATGAGAGAACTGATCTTTACAAGCAGTAATCAATTGCTAAGGGCTTAATTTATACAGCAGCAGTGTGGACTTACTAGGGGGAATTTATCAAAACTGGAGAAGACAAAATATGGAACAGCACGGCAACCAATCAACTTCTCTCCAGCTTGTCCAGTTAAGATTTGAAAATGAAAGAGAGAAGCTGATTGGTTGCCGTGCACAGCTGCTCCAGATTTTGAATACTCCAGTTTTGATAAATTCCCCTCACTGTGGCCATACCACTACTTAAAAAACAAATTGCACATTTGCAGTATGTTTGGGGGTCCTAAACCAGCAGAGCACTATTCAAATGCATAATGAAAAAAACGGCCAGGAGGCCCATTAATGTGACCTGTCAGTAGCGTTAGGCGGATAGAACTCCGTGGACACTGCAGGCTCTACACCACTGTCTGAGAGGGGGCAGTAAAATGTGTGTTTAGGTAGCATTGTGATGTCCAATAGTGGCCTCTCTATCATAAATAGACCCCCAATTGTAATATAGCGCGGTCGGCGCTTCCGGTTTCCAAAACCCCCCCCCGGACTCTTCACCTTGATTCCCGGGATCCGCTGCCCCATCTTGGATCCCGGGACCGGCTCCGAGGGCGTCAGGAGGAGGAGGACGGGAGATTAGCTCCTTGCTGATCTCCGTCCGGGCTGTGAATGCAGAAGTGATGTGTATTACATCACTTCCGCATTCACCTGTCAGTCATCTGGCTGCTATTGCCAGAGAGAAGAAGCTGATAAAGCAGATCTCTGCTTCATCAGCTTCTTTTGGGGTCCACAGGTGATATTAGGGGTCCTAGAGACCCCTAATATCTCCATAAAGAGGACCTGTCAGTGTGCCTTTGCTATTATATAGGGGGTTGTTATCCCCCTATATAATAGCAATAACAATAAGTGCAAAAAAATAAATATAAATAAAAAAAAAGAAAAGTAACACATAAAAAAGTAAAGTAAAATAAGTCACATATAAAAAAAGGGGAAAAAACCCCCCCAAAATGTTTAACTCCCCCACCCCCACGTTTACGCGCCTATAAACGTAAATACGCGTCCGGTGCCCCAGCGCGCAAAAATTACAATTGCGCTACACATGTTACATATCGCCGCGAACGTCGCAGTGAGAGCAATCATTTTAGGGCCATCAATCACTGATAACACTAAACTGATGAGCGGTAACAGCTTTTAAAGCGTCGCCTATGGCCAATTTTGGGTATTATCGTTTTTTGAGGTTTCGCGCGCGCACGCAATTTTAAGGCTTGACATGTTTGGTGTCTTTTTACCCGATGTGACCCCGTCTTTTATATTTTACCAAAAAATTGGGTAATAATAAATGTTTTATCATTTAATATAGGGGAAACTGTTTTTTTTTTAAATTTCGGTAATTTTTCCTTAATATAGTAAAAAAATAAAACCCCCAGTGGTGAATAAATACCACCAAAAGAAAGCTCTATCTGTCCCCAAAAAAGGGTATAAAATTCATTTCAGTACAGCGCTGCATGACGGAATAAATGTCAGTCAAAGTACCGCAGCGCTGAATACTGAAAAATGGCCTGGACAGGAATGGGGTCTAACACCGCGGATGTCAACTGGTTAAACAATAGTAAAATCTGCTATAAAAAAAAAACACATGTACATTTATACAATCTGTGTACTGTTACATTTCAGGGTAGAAAATGACAGAACTTGACATGACCTATACATGTACATCAAAGTTATCTAAATGCAAAAACAAAGTTTTTTAATATAGTACAGCTTACCAGTCATTCAGTGTGGCGGCTGCATTCTTCTTCTTTGTTTCTTCTTCTTTGTTCTTTGTTTCTTCTTCTTTGTTCTTCTTCTTCTTCTTCTTCTTTGTTTCTTCTTCTTCTTCTTTGTTTCTTCTTCTTCTTCTTTGTTTCTTCTTCTTCTTCTTTGTTTCTTCTTCTTCTTCTTTGTTTCTTCTTCTTCTTTGTTTCTTCTTCTTTGTTCTTTGTTTCTTCTTCTTTGTTCTTCTTCTTCTTCTTCTTCTTTGTTTCTTCTTCTTCTTCTTTGTTTCTTCTTCTTCTTCTTTGTTTCTTCTTCTTTGTTCTTTGTTTCTTCTTCTTCTTCTTCTTCTTCTTCTTTGTTCTTCTTCTTCTTCTTTGTTTCTTCTTCTTCTTCTTCTTTGTTCTTCTTCTTCTTTGTTTCTTCTTCTTCTCCTTCTTCTCCTTCTCCTTCTCCTCCTTCTCCTTCTTCTTCTCCTTTCTCTTCTCCTCTCCTCTCCTTTCTCTTCTCCTCTCCTTTCTCTTCTCTTC